TACTGATAATATACTGATACTTTCTTTGACAGTGTGTTTTGATTTTTGTTTGTTTAATGCTAGTGGTTCTCTTATGCTTAGAACTTTTCCTGGTTACTTCAAGTTCCATCCCAAAAATGACTAGATCAATGTCTTGGTTTTAGGGAATCTCTGCTGCTTCATGTTTTTAATTCTCGAATATAAGCCTACAAGTAATAGGTGGCTTCCTACCCCATAGGATCCATGTATGGTATATACGCTAACATTGGGGGTATATTGATGGTAAATGTTACCATATATAGCATACATGGATCCTATGGGTACCAACATTACCTTCATCCAATTTTTGGAACTAGAAAAAATCATGAACCATACCCCATCTTCGTAGAATAATCAATGATTCCCGTTAAGAGCATACCCCAAGTTCATAGATCACTTCAGATCATGGTGGGCTTTGCTCTCGCTGACGTTTTTTTTCGCCAGGAGGCAGCGTCACGGTGCGCTTTCGCAGGGACTTTGCTTCGATCTGAACGCCTGGCGGGTCGAAGTTGTCGGAATGGACTCCATGAGCCAACAGACAGCAGTCGGCGAAGAAAGAAAAATGCTGGGGGAATATTTTTCGTATGTTGAGCCAATCCCTCTGAACAATATGAGTTCGTCAGTTGGGATGATGAAATTCCCAAGATATGGGAAAATAAAACATGTTCCAAACCACCAACCAGTTTTTTTTGGCCAGAGAGCGAAAACAAGGGATGGGGGAAGGCAAGCGATCAAATAGAGCTATGACTAGGGGGGAGCGGTACTGAGAATAGAACGAACGAAATGGAAAAGTAAACGAGAGCTATAGAATGATGGAGGCATACCGTAGAGATAGAGGAAAAGGAAGTGGATGAAGTGACTGAGGGGCAGACAGTGGGGTGGATTAGAGTCTAAGCCAACATGGTGAGCTTCTAATGCGTTTGACCTGGCGAATGTGCCAAAAGTAGGCAGTAATGTCGAGTCTAGCCGTCACAGGTCAAAGTGAAGAAAAAACTGAGCAGTAAGAGTGAAGGTCTCGTCTAGCCCTATGTAGATTGACAGAAACAAGAAGCAGGAACATTGAAAAAAGGTGTGCAAACGACCTTTTGCTTTCAAGCGCTGGCGTTGCCCCCGCCAAACTGGCAACCAAAGGGATCATCAAAGGGCGTCCAGCACTGGATAAAATACACAAATCATCAAGGATGAGTCAAGCAAACTTACGATTAAATGCGGCATATCAATCATGATTTACCAACAAATTAATGATGGATACCAACAAATATCATATATCAAGCATCCCAGAGATAGCACCAACAAATTTAACCCCAGACCAGTCGTGCCGTGCTCTCGTTGCTATTGGGCGACCTTTCAGGGGGACCGCTGCCTGCATTGTTCATGACCCATTCTTTGTTCACCAGCTCATGCCACCCTGGCCACGAGACAGTCACAACCATTTGGCACATGCATTGTTCTTATCACCACCAAACTATAGAAAGCCGGACCTGTCGCGAAGCAATCAGACATGACCATTGAAGCGATATGCCAGGAGTCCCGGAGAGTATCTGTTGAAGAGAAACCACTAAAAATAACCTTTTCTAACTACATTGCATCTTCTCTGCCGCCCACATTGCACTGAATTCTGAAGCATTCCATTGGTCCCTCATTCTGAAGTTGATTTTGGAGCACCCAGGATGAGCCATTGGTATCCCATTGGTTTATTGCTGTCTTGACCAATTTGAGGAGCCCAACGTATGCAGAATCCACCAGGGCCGTCCCCCGGACCCATGCAGAATCTCCGAGCCATCGAGCCTGTCTTGAGGGATAAAATATCGCTGCCTCGGCCAGTCAGCAGAAAGCGACCCAGTACCCTCCGGTAGTCGAACGTGGCATTGGAGGATCCGCCATTTGTAATCATTGATAGAGAATTTTCACAGTTCAACCTCCATTATAATAGGATATGGTATTTCCATATATTTCCATGTATTTCCATGCATTTCCCATATTTTCCCACCAGTTTTATCCATTTTTCCAGTGATTTCCCGTGGTTTCTATGGGAGCTCGCCTAGTGCCGTTCTGGTTCTGAGGATTGCACTGCGGGGGGCTCCAAAGAGGGCCACCTCGGCCCCATGGAACATGGGGAAATCTGAGTGGAATCGCTGGTTGGTTGGTGGTTTTAACTTGCTTTAACCATCTTGAAAAATTTAACGGTTTGCTATTGAAAATGGCCATAGAAACAGCGGATTTACCCATTGATAGCATGGTGGATCTTTCCATAGCTTTTTGTATGTTTGCTAGGGGGTAAGTGAAAAAAATCTGCTTGGTGGTTGGCAAACCATCTTGAAAAATATGAGTTCGTCAATGGTTGGCAGATTATCCCATATATTGTGGAAACTGAAATGTTTGAAGCCACCAACCAGTTATATATATATATATGTTCGTGAAGAAAAGCATATATAAACTCACCCTCCGGTAAACATACAAAAAACTATGGAAAGATCCACCATGCATTTTTGATGGGTAAATCCACTATTTCGACTGGGCCATTTTCAATAGCTATTTTGACATAACCGGAGGGTATATCCCATTAAATCACCATTAAACACCCATTAACATGAGGGTATATCCCATTAAATCACCATTAAACCACCATTAAATCACCATTAAACACCCATTAACATGAGGATATATCCCATTAAATCACCATTAAATCACCATTAAAGTATATTTCTTTATATTTCTATGATCTGAAAGCATGAAATTCTGAAATTGAACTTCCTCATCTCTTCCGAACTGCCGCCGCCGAGGGGCCGATTCGCCCTGCTGGACTTTCAACAAATCCTGGCTCCGACTTCCTGCACGGGAAAAGCTGAAAGCACCAGCTTTCCATGCCATGTTTGTTACTTAATTCTACATCCATTAATAGATCCACACACACACACATATATATATATATACATTTTTTATATCTATATCATCCCAGAATTTTCATTATATATTCTACCATCATTATGATATATCCATGAAAATTAATATCCATATATCATGGAATCATATTCATCAAATATGTATATAATTATATATAGCCGATTTCGCCATGTATCGTTCTACCATCCATCAATATTCCATTTTTTTTGGGGGAGACACGGTTAGACACGGTTCCAGACGCGCCTCGCCAACGAGATTCCTTGGGGCACCTCAGGACGTGTCACCAGCGTAGCAATCTGCAGCTGTTCGGCATTTGTGCGGGGGTTTCTAGACATTTCTATAATGTTCTATACATGTTACGATATGGCTATGGGTAAAAAAAAGAAAACCTGGCACCTAGTGAAGCCCCAAAAAGCTGGGATTTATGGATGTTCATCCCACTAAAAATGATAATAGGTTTTGATCCATCCCCATATGTTTATGTTTAAAAGAACGCCATTCTGATGATCCAGCGTGGATAGATCTGGATAAATAACATCAAGCTCTTGGCTTTTCAAACAAAGCTTTTAGCTAACCCCCGCCGCTGGGCCAAGGAGCCAATAGATGAACAAACTTCCGTCCACTGACCTCGCCGCTGTCATGGAGGATTGAGAAATTCCGTGGACCCCAGTGGACCCCTCGTATTTCCAAAAGTGTTTTGCTGCTGATGGCTGATGTTGTACGTTCATAATTTCATAGTATACTAATGTATACTATAGATTTTCTATAGTATATATACTAAGACAAAATGATTTTGAACTCCTAATTTTTTAGGAGCCCGCAAGGCCCGTGGATCTTCCCATTCTTGTGCCACAGCATCATGGGGTGCAGCGAGGTGCCAATAGGTTTCACGGCAACTGACGCAGAATTCCTGGGTGAAGCGAATGCCAGCGGCACATCCCCCGACATATGCTGAGAACACGCAGCCTAGACTAGGCCCAATTTATGATGTTGAGTTAGATGCGATGCAGTTCTTGTTGGCATTGCATGAGGTTGCATGCTACATCTTCATAGGGGCAAGTGCTCCAAAATTTATGTTGTTCTTTCTGCATTGGTAATTCATGATAATTCACTATGCTCAGCTGTTATCATGTGTAGACCTTTTTCCACTAGCGCTATCCTTGTTGGAGTTGTTCCCATTTTTTCCCAACCTTCAGGCGACATATTTCTGGAATTACCTGGATTGAGGGAGACCCCTTCATTTGAGGGAAGGCTAGACCCTCCTTTAAAAAAGTAGAAATTGGAGTTATGGTATTCCAATGTCAGTTTTTAGGAGTGTAGGTAACCTTCTCGTGTTTTGCTTTGAGGGCTGTCAGTTTTTGTTCCATGGCTTTTGTTTCATCATTTTTTGGGGTTCCAAAAATTCAAGAGCTTGCAAGTGGCAGCAAGGGTTCTGGAGCGTTGTTTTTCCAGGGTGCTCCTTTCCTAGACATGTTTGAAGGGGATGATCGCCTGGATGATTGGCACGACCCAAGTTTTCTGTATATGAATGTTCCCTTAAATCCCTCCATTGATTGGATTGAGCTTCGCTAATATCGCATTTTTGATGGTTAGTCCCAACAAATATTCCCTGATTTCTCACTAAATATCCCAACAGGATCCTGAGATTTTACAAAGCATGGCAGAAACTTCACCATTTACACATGATTCTACTATGAAGATCTATCAAGTACTATTAAAACTTTCATTTCTAGGAGATTTCCCAGTGCCAAGTTGAGAGAAGGTATTCTGCAGATTGTTCCCTGAAGATTGGGACTTCGGAATTGGTTGGGTGTCAAATCCCCACATGCATCGATGCATTGCCTATCTGTGATCCCTATGGGATAGAAAAGATCGCTAAATCTTCATGGAGTCCTCTCGGGATCAAAAACTTAGGGATTTGATCTACTCTATCCAATATTCCAAGCAATCACATGGTGAAAAAAGTGGTTCATATCCTACCGTAATTGGCCCTAATCCCCTTGAAGATTCATGACCAATATTAACCACTACAAATATTAATCATGTCTAATCCAATAATCCAAACCATCATGAATTTGCTTCAATTTGGTTTATATCCTGCAGCAATTGACCAATTGACCCCTTGGCTTACTTATGCTTAGTAGGGAATGGAGGGAATGATCCACAATAAATATCAATACTAATCCCAGCAACCCTCATTCCCATCCCAGTAAGTTGAAGAATAGGTTTCCAGTTTCCATTGACCAAGGCGCCAACTGCCTACGCTCCACAAAGCTGGTATTCACCGCCGTCCGCCTCGAAATGTTTCAACAATGTTCGTGTCGGTAGACCTCAGTAGACCTCCAATATAGCAAACCCCAAAAATTGATACTTAGTACAGGATGGGGCCCCAAGATAGCTAAGTTGGTTTATAAGTGGCTTAACTATGGTTTATGGTATATAAGTATAGTTAATGGGCGTTATAATGGTTTTTGTGGTAAAATCCTGCTACTGGATGGGGCCCCAGTTCGTTAGCAAAGTTGGTGCAAATAACTATTTCATAACAAGTTGGTGTATGATACTTATAACTATATTTAGATGGGGTTATAAACCAACTTATAACGGGGGGGCCATCCTGCTAAATATATGGTAGTAAATTATACTGTTCTATCTTCCTAGAGGCTACTATAAACTGACAGTTTATAATAGCGGCCATGAATAGTTCGATGATTTGGCCTTTGTTGAATCTTTTAGCATGATGATCCCCAGAAAAGGTTCAACTTACCCGAATTGTCTCTTTTTTAGCTATACCGTCCGGACCGTCCTTTTTGGGGAGTTATCTCCTTTAAAAAATATCATTATTCTATTCACACCTGACATATCATGACATTCTGCGACTGCACTTTACATGCTTGAAATCTTGTGATGCCAACCTAGTGGAGATCTCCTGCCCAATGTAATCATGCAAACATACACCACCCGGCATACCATCTGCCATCTGCTGCTGCGGCACCAGAAACCCTTTAGGGTGATGATGCGCAGGGGCGCCGGCAGCGGGCCGAAGCTGGTGACGCCAGACATGGGCAGCCTCGGTGGGGGAATCCCATCGAATCCCATAGAAAATGGCCATAGAAATAGTGGATTTACCCATTGAAAACGGCGGATTTGTCCATCGTTTTTTGTATGTTTACCAGAGGGTAAGGAATCCCATAGAATCCCATAGAAATATAGAAATTCCATGGGATTTCCAAGTTGAATTGAAATTGAATGTTCTAGGAAATGTTCGATGATTTTTGATTTGGAAGGGAAAATTTGTATAGGATTAGCGACAGCGCCAATGATATGGTCATCCGTGAACTTACCCTCTGGTAATTTAACATAGCTATGGAAAATGGACCATTTATAGTTGATTAACCCATTAAAAATTGTTAATTATTTTCCATAGTTATGTTAGTTTACCAGAGGGTAAATACATCGAATCATTCTAAAAAAATATGGTGTTTTTTCACAGTTCGTTGAGCATGTTGAACGTTGTACGTTGATTTTCCCTCCCTTGTCCAGGAACCCTTGGCCCGCACCAGCGCCCAGCAACTTCTCCCATTGCTGGCCATTCCACTCGAACCATCCCCCTTTCAGCGAGGGTGACAAAATATGCAACCGCTCTGGTGCACCGATGCACCCGGGGGAAGCCTGGCCGACGATTCGGAAAGCTCGAAACGTAAATTTGGGATGATACACACAACAAACACACACAGACACAGCTATAAATATAATGAATGAGGGGGCAGGAGCCCCTTTTAAAATAAAAAGATAAAAATAAACTGAAAATAAAATGGGTCAGACCCCAGCATTTTATTTTGTGGGTGCATTTTATTTTTTGAGGTGCCTAACCCATCAAATTAACTGACAGAGATATACAGAGATAACATGATAGCAAAGATGCACAGCTGTGAACGGTCTGATCATTTTGTGAAACGTTCCAGAGATATGGAATTACTTGGACATTAAGTTCGAAAATGGGTTTGCCCCCCTCATTTTCTATTGCCTTCCTTGGCCAACAATAGACACACGGGCAGCTTACAGCAGCCAATGAGATTTCTTCAGTTTATTTATATTTATTTGTATTTTTTCTGTATCTTTTCTAGAAACCATCCAGGTGTCAGAAGTTGAACCAATTATATATATATATGTCTTATATTGATCGAAATCCGCACGATTTCTCCTTCCTGTTGGCACGTGAAAAGGCTAAACAAGACTAGACAAGACGAAACAAGATCAACCAATCAAATAAGGAAACAGTGTAAAGGACTAAACAAGACTAAACATGGTTAAAACCAATAGGAGACAAGACTAAACAAGATTAACCCAAAAGGAAATGCCGGAGCCTGAGGTCCAACAGTTGCCAGGTGGAGGGTGCCTGACGTCATATTCTTTTTGTACCTGTCCATTGTATTTTGCTTGGGTCTTCCTATCTTACCTTATGCCCTCTCATCTTATTGGCATTTTGTCCTTAGGCCCCTGCATTTTATTTTTTTTTTAGGGGTTCCACCCCCCCTGGCAACAGCCGGGTGTTATATATATATATATCTATATACCGTGTTTTGGATTTCCGTGTCGTCGTGTTTTGGTGACGGGCGGAGGGTCCACCCGAAAACGCGAACATTCAAAAAGGCGCGCGTTGCCGCTGGATGCACCCGAAAACGCGAAAATTTGAAAATCCGCCAAAAAAAACGAAACCCGAAAACGCGAAAATCTGAAAATATCCGAAAAGTATCCACAAAAAAACAAAAACCCGAAAACGCTAAAATTCTGAAAATCCGAAAAGTGCGAAAAATGAGAAAAACCCGAAAACGCGAAAATTTGAAAATCCGAAAAGTGCGAACAATGGGGAAAAAAAAACGAAAACGCAAAAATCTGAAAATCTGAAAAGTGCGAAAAATGAGAATATACCCGAAAACGCGAAAATTTGAAAATCCGAAAAGTGCGAAAAATGGGAGAAAAAAAAAAGAAAAAACGCGAAAATCTAAAATCCGAAAATGCGAAAAATGAGAAAAAACCCGAAAGGGCGAAAATTTGAAAATCCGAGAAGTGTGAAAAATGAGAAAAAACACGAAAACGCAAAAATTTGAAAATCTGAAAAGTGCGAAAAATGAAAACAAAAAACGAAACGCGAAAATGTGAAAATCCGAAAAGTGCGAAAAATGAGAAAACTCGAAAACGCGAAATTTTGACAATCCGAAAGTGTGAAAATGAGAAACATACCTAAAATTTGAAAAGACCGAAAATACGGAAAAAGTGAAAAAGGAGCCGAAAACCTGATAAATCGATCTTGGGAGCACAAAAAAAAGAGAAAATGTGACAGTCAAAAAAGGCGAAAATGGGGACAAAGCAGAAACGATATCCCTATCGGTAATTGGTTGGGGGGGTGGGACCCTGGTTTAATTTCTTTAATTAAACGGGGTCCCCTGCAGCATGGGTTTTTCCAAAATTTTTCAGTCAAACATAACCTCCGTTTATTTTTAACATAAGAAATTAATCCAGAAAACTTCCAGTTAAGGTCCCACCCAGCATCCCCCAGCTAAAAATTAAACAAGCTACTCGGCAGTACCTGGTTTAATTTTACAGGATCATTAGGTTGATTTTGTTTTGCCAAGACCAAATATTAAACCACCTGGTTCTACACATGTCAGTGAGACTTGGTGTAAAAACAGTTGCGCCCACCATTTTTCCCCCCAGGTGCGTGGACCAACTAAGCTTTCTCAAAGTTAAATCCAATGGTTTAATTTCAGCTGTTTTAGCTCATTGTGCTGCCTCGTGTTCCGCCTCGGGATACTGCAGCCATGGTTCCTGACACGTGTCCTAGCACAGCTCCGTGAAGACGATCAGGCGTGGACAGCAAGGTTCTTGCACAGTTGGGAACAGCATTGCTGCAGCCCAAATGCTCCATCTCAAGCAGAGCAAGTCCATGGGAAAGGCGCTGCGGGACCATGGTAAACTGTTTCTATCTGTTTCGGGCCCCTTGCGTGATCCCAGATCAGGTCAGAATAATTAATCAAGGGGTGGGTGAGTCCATACGTACTGAACATTCATTCATCAGGACACCTTTGGCACCATAATATTCATGGGATTTATGGTCACCAGAATAATTAAACAAGGGGTGGGTGAGTCCACATGTACTGGGCATTCAGGATCAGTTCTTCCATTGGGGCACCCCCAACACCATAATATCATACAATATCCATGGCATTGATGGTCACCAGAATAATTAAACAAGGGGTGGATAAGTCCACATGTTCTTGGCATTCATAAAGATTCATGTATTGGGATACCTTTGGTGTTATCATGATTCATTGTTTTTTCTTGAATTTTCATCTTTGGTCATCACAAAGGAAGGAACCTGATGGAATTTCATGATCAACTTGCACTCCAATGAGATTCCATCAGGTTCCTTCCTTTGTGATGACCAAAGATGAAAATTCAAGAAAAAACAATGAATCATGATAACACCCAAGGTATCCCAATACATGAATCTTTATGAATGCCAAGAACATGTGGACTCACCCACCCCTTGTTTAATTATTCTGGTGACCATCAATGCCATGAATATTATGGTGCCAAAGGTGTCCTGATGAATGAATGTTCAGTACGTATGGACTCACCCACCCCTTGATTAATTATTCTGACCTGATCTGGGATCACGCAAGGGGCCCGAAACAGATAGAAACAGTTTACCATGGTCCCGCAGCGCCTTTCCCATGGACTTACTCTACTTGAGATGGAGCATTTGGGCTGCAGCAATGCTGTTCCCAACCGTGCAAGAACCTTGCTGTCCACGCCTGATCGTCTTCACGGAGCTGTGCTAGGACACGTGTCAGGAACCATGGCTGCAGTATCCCGAGGCGGAACACGAGGCAGCACAATGAGCTAAAACAGCTGAAATTAAACCATGGGGTGGGTCACATCTCAAAATTAAACCAACTCAACTTTCTTCAGGATCTTAAGGAGGTGGGTGGACCCCCTGTTTTCGTAAGATTTTTTAAATTAAACCAAAAAAATTAAACCTAACTCAGTGTCCACCTGGTTTAATTTAGCTAGCGCATCCCACATCAGAAACGCATACTTGAGAAGGACGGTTCCTTGCTAAGTACTTAGCCTGCTTAGCCATCTTAGCCTGCTTAGCCATCTTAGGAGGCACTTAGCTAAACATAAGCTAAGCATCTGCTAAGGTTCAATTTCGTTCAATGGAATCCTTTAACATATAGTGTTTTGGTGGGAACATAAACTTGTTGAAGAAAGAAAATAAAATAACAAATCTCATCAGAATGGTGCGTGGTTTTCTGCATGTGATGGCTATAATGATTATCCTGGCAAGAATATGGTGCATGATTTTTTGCATGTGATGGCTATAATGATTATCCTGGCAACAACATAAAACAAATCCAGTGGATTTGGTTGTATGTACAACATGGAAATCTGCTTTGGATGTCCATGCAAAAGCCATTCATTCAGCTCATTGTCCATGGTGTGACTGCATCTCACTGGAAGAAAAGTTGGTGCACAAAAGCAAATTGGAAGCAAATATGTCATGCCAAAAGCACTGCGTGCTATGCCAAAAGCAACATGTCCATGAAGCATGCATGGCTTGCATGTAAGAAAAGCAATGGGTGCTAAGCCAAAAGCATTGGGTGCTAAAATGGAAGCTATCAAGGTGGCATGCCAAAAGCAATGGGTGCTAAAATTGGTGCTTTCAAAGCAATGCACATGGAGAAGATGCTGTGGTAACTTAGAAACACCACTGGTCAGGAAACTGCTGACTTTTTTCCACTTGCCAACGCATTGCAGCCTTTGGCATGGTCACTGTATGATGTGGCCACCCATTCTGGTCCTGCATGGTCCTTGTCCATGGCAGGGTCACCAATTCCATTGGTCGTGGTGCCATTGGTCATGGCTTGGTCATCGCCTCCTTGCTATGGTGGCCTGGTGGAGGCCATGGCCTTTCCATGAAGGATCGAACCCATGGTCTGCCACATCTGATTCAAGTGGCTCTGTCATGGGTTCTGTTGCACCATATCCATGACGGGCACCCAATGGCACTGCAATGTTGTGCCCATAGATGGCTCCTTGGCTCACACAACTTGGACAAGTCTATGGCTGCTGGTGTGGAAGGCTGTGGGGCGCCCCCATGCATCCAAGTTGGTCCATGCACCTTTGTCTGGAGCTCCATGGGCTGGCACCTGGCCTGCTCTCTTGCATGCAAAAAAAACTTTACGTCGAGTTATCCCCACCATGACATTTATACGTTTTGATACTGGCAAATCTTCTGGCATTCTATCTGACATACCTTCTGGCATTTTATCTGGCATATCTTCTGGCATTCTATCTGGCATATCTTCTGGCATTCTACCTGGATCTACCTGGCATATCTTCTGCAATATGTTCTGGCATATCTTCTGGCACTCTAACTGGCATATCTTCTGACATTCTATCTGGCATATCTTCTGGCATTCTACCTAGCAAACATTCTGGCACTTTATCTGGCATACCTTCTGGCATTTTATCTGACATTCTATCTGGCATACCTTCTGGCATTCTATCTGGCATATCTTCTGGCATTCTATCTGGCATATCTTCTGGCATTCTATCTGACATTCTGTCTGGCGTTCTATCTGGAATATCTTCTGGCATTCTATCTGGCCGTTGAGGTCCAGCAGTGCCCACTGAGCTCGGAAGGTCCCAGGTTGAGGTCCAGCGGTGCCCAGAGCTCTGACGGTCGCAGGTTGGGGACCAGCATTGCCCACTGGCCTCGGAAGGTCCCTGGTTGAGGTCCAGCGGCCCCCACTGCGCTCAGAACCTGGCGGTTGAGGTCCAGCCGTGCCCACTCAGATCGGAAGCCGGCAGTTGAGGTCCAGCAGTGCCCACTGAGCTCGGAAGGTCCCAGGTTGAGGTCCAGCGGTGCCCACTGAGCTCTGACGGTCGCAGGTTGGGGACCAGCATTGCCCACTGGGCTCGGAAGGTCCCTGGATGAGGTCCAGCGGCGCACTGCGCTCAGAACCTGGCGGTTGAGGTCCAGCCGTGCCCACTCAGATCGGAAGCCGGCAGTTGAGGTCCAGCAGTGCCCACTGCGCGCGGAAGTTGGCGAAGAGATTGGCAAAGAGTTGGTAAGGCGGAAGTGGACGTGGAAGTTGATGCAGGCATGGTCGAGGAGAAACTGGAGGAGGAGGAAGAGGAGGAGGAAGAGGAGAACAGCTCTGATAAAATCTAACAACCCTCACCTGGCAGGTGGGGAGCAACATTCAACAAAGCTGGGCATGAAGCACTGAGTGCTGGTGCATGGAAACCAACTGCACATACAGAATCCACATGAAAGCACCGGGTGCTACATGGACATGGTTGAACAGGCAAAACAACATGGAAGCAATGCACAACAAAACGAACATGAAAAGCACTATTTGCTGGACAGCTGGCAACACACATTTTTGTACCTGCAGCTGTGGCCATGGTGGCCTAGAAGTCACCAAAGCTTGGGTCATAGCCCCAGTTGGACATATACCAGAAGTGGTTTTGGTAGCTCTGGTCTATGTCACTGGCCCTGGCTCTGACCCTGTCAAGAATTGGGATGCCTCATTGTGCATCCCCAACTCATGGAGGACAGCAAGGTGGACCCACCTGTTCCTGTTGCCTTGCTGCAATCTTGGTGCCTTTGGCTTTGGCCATGGGAGTGGTGCCATCACTTGGGCCACTTGCAGCTGGTGCCTGCAACAGCATATGGTACTGGAAACAAATGTCAGCAAATGGCAATGTAAGCAGCTTGGCATACCACCAGCCTTGGGCACTGGTGCAACCCCAGCAAGGCTACTGTCCTCAGTGGCAAACATCTATTGTCAAAAAACTGGCTTGAATCACTTGGGTGATAAGGATCTGACTTCGTGGCCTTAGTATATATATATATATACATATAGTTATATATGCATGTATATATATATATAGCTAAAAATATGCGTGTGCATATAATTATCGTCTATTTATTTATCTACTAGTAGTCTACTAGTATTCAGTATATTTACCTGAGTGGGGGCTGATCCACCAAAACAGCCCACTCATTGTCCAAACGTTGAGTCGTATACCTTGGGTGATGTTTTGGCTATTCCCTTAAATAGCCCTCAAAAAAAGAAATTATATATTTATAGAATTATATAGATACCCTCCAATAAATTAACATAGACCCTGGCAACTAGATGCAAATAGGGGTTGGAAGATTAGTTTCCGCCAAAAACTGGGTGACTTTCAGGGTGCTGAACAAAAATACCAGAGGCTACCCCCAATAAACCATTATCCACCATTATTAATCATTATTAACCATCATAAACCATTATTAACCACTAATGGCCATTGATTTGGGAATGATTCCCCCGCAATTCCCATCGCTTCAGCGCCTGCAATGAGATCCGCGGTACATCCACGGCACGGCAGCCCTTCCAGCGTCTCTCCTCAAAGGGGACGAGCCTTTGGACGACATCAAAAAACGGACGTGCCAATTAGAAATACGGTTTGCATACACACACACACACAGAGACATATTTATATATATATATATAGATGTGTATAAATATATATATATATACACATGTGTATATATATACACATATATACACATATCATGTGTACATATGTATATAATTATATATAATTATATAAATGTGTGTAATATATATATAATTATATATACATGTATTATATGGGTGAATTGAAATAGCTCACTGACCTGAAATAAAGACTATAGATGGCTAGAGTATATTATAGTGGGATAGTTATCCCTTTTAATCATCATCTATGGTGAGGTCACAGTGAGGTCGCTATAATTTACACATATTATGTAAATATATATATATATATATTCCTGAAATGGGGGTACCCCAATAGCTGGATGGTTTATAACAGAAACCCCCCAAAAAAAAACGAAGGATTTGGGATGATTTGGGGTACCCCCATTTTAGGAAACCTCCATCTATACTATATATATATATATATATATACATAAACATCAATTAAACATTTTAATGGCACTAAACTAGAATCTCTGCAGTGCATTTGTGGTTTTCATCTATTAAGAATTTTCTGTCTTTTGGGGTTTTAACATGGTTTAACATGGTTTAATATTTAACACATACATAACATACATAGGAACCGTTCCAAATGTGTTTTTCTTGGGGCCAACTGCCCGACACATTTTCCACATGTTCCACATTTTCCACATCAAGTACTGTGCTGGGTCCCCGGGGTACCCTGCGCCGTCCTGGCTACTCCAGTAGATCACATGCTGGTTGTCCAAGGACCAATAAGACTCTCGGCCAAGGATGATGTTTTCAGGTGTGCGGCGCTCTACATAGGTGGTGTTCCTAGCATCTCCAGCAGATGACAGAGTTCCCAGTTCTGCGAAAGGAACTAACTCCGAAAGCTGGATTCTCCCACAAAAATGGATAGGGGATCTATATGATTCTTTGTATATATATATATATATACATACACTATACACACATTTGGAAATGTGACAATGATTGACGGCTGTAACGCAATGATGCAAAAATCTGACGCCAAACGAACCTCGAACCTCCATGCCTGCCTGCAGATTTTCCAACAAAAATCATCCTGATCTAAGGGCTTTCATGATTTTCCACTACTAGACCATAAAGTACAGTGACGTTTTAGGGTCCTCACATATCCAACTAAACTGGGCTGGCTTCACATTTTCTGAACATTTGACACTTGTTTGACATTTTCGCATCCATGATGTCTCCTCATTGATCACCATGGTGTTTTCCAAGTCCTTCCTCCGCAACCAGGTGAGCCATGAAAAACATCATCATCCCATGAAATACTGCTTGGTCAATAGGTGTAAATAGATAGCCATAGATATCCCGAAAAATTATGACTTATCGCAGTCACCAATGAATTGGGTACAATAAAACCCCCTTATGATGTAAAAAATAAAAAGTCACATCAACAATTTGGCATTGTGTGGCGAACTGCTGAAGCCCTGGTGAAGCCCAAGAGGAACTGGGCCAAAAATTTCGCGGCATTTCGCTATGCCAAGGCACATTGCACTCATGCGCTGAAAGCCATTGAGCAACAACACACGCAATGGCGCTTGGCTTTCCTGCTGCTTGACCCATTGCAGACCCCATTTGGCAACCTGGCCACGGCATCCACTGATTTAACCCGAAAAAATACCGAATCCAAAGTTCAAAAAAAACTCAAGGCATGTTATCATGTTTCTTAATTTGTCAATGTTGACACATTGCATCATACTTTTTTGAGGTTTAGATAGGTTCAGATTGCATCACTTGGACTTTCTGAAAGGCTGACCCCAGAAAACATGTTTCGTTGATCCTTCTGTTGCTGACATGGTTTCTCTTCGGCTTTTCCCAGATACTTAAGATTGATCGTATTGATCATTCAAAGTCATAAATCAAATAAAACAGCGATAAAATCATTATAAGTCTATCTTACATCTATTGACAACATGACTATTAATATTTTTCAGGGCTATTGTCACCACAACCATGAATTGAAGTCTATTAACCAACCATTTCTGGTTGGTGGTTTCAATCCCTCTGAAAAATACTAATCAATGGGAAGGATTATCCCATATATTATGGAAAAATGTTTGAAACCACCAGCCTGATTTTATCCACATCAGCCTGTTTTTTTTCAGTTCCTTCCATCTGCCAAGCTCCGCACTTTGTCCGAGGGATCCAGTTTGAAGGCCTTCTGAAAATCCTCCGCCGCATCGCCTGAGGCGTTTCGTTGGCGTTTCGAAGGCACGGCCATGCGTAGATGGGAAGGCATCCGGTGATCCAAAATGACTGGTTTACCACTGGTTTAACCCATCAAAAACAACAAAAAAAATAATCCAATCTTCTGTGGGATGATCCAATACCATAATGTGTTTGGCAACATCAAAAACTCAATGTGTTGTTCAGTTTCTGTGGAATGTATTTGCACATAGCATGTGTTGCCGTCCAATTTCTGTGGTATTCAACCTTATGGCCATGTAGATAGCCCAAAAAGGTGATAATGATAATAAGGAATCTATCTACCACCTATTTGTCATTATAGTGATCTTAGCAACCTTGCAGCCCTCCAATTTTGGGAATGGCTATCTACCACCAATTTCTGGGTCATTGGGAATTGTTTTTTCGCAGGTTTGCTGATGGAATCTGGGGATTCTGACTACAAAATCCCCATCAACCCCCATGCCTGGTGCAATCCACAACCTCTCAATGGCTACACCATGCTAAACATGAAAAACCATTTAAAAACCCTATGTTTCACCTAGTCTTGCTGGTTCAATCCAGTTCGTTCTCCATAATTCGCTGAAATCCACGCGATTTCACTTCACCAATCGCATCAATCGCCAAGTGTCGGTACCAGCCGAGCTCCGACTTCACCACACCGCGGCTGCTGAGATAGACCGAAGCCGTAGGATCTAACTTTAAGGCTGCGCTGTAGTCATTCAGCGCCTCAGTTGGGAGACCACGATGAGCATCCCGGACTCCCGGACCGTCCAAACTCACCGATTCAGTGATGTTGGGGAATGTGAAGCCCGTTATAATCCCATTATATAACTATAGCTATAAGATGTTATAAAATGTTAAAAGGTGTTATAAGATGTTATAAGATGTTATAAGATGCTATAAGATGTTATAAGATGTTATAAGGCGTTTAAGATGTTATGAGATGTTATAAGATGTTACAAGATGTTATAAGATGCTATAAGATGTTTTAAGATGTTTTAAGATGTTATAAGGTGTGATAAGATGTTTAAGATATGTTTAGGATGTTAAAATATGTTTTAAGATATTATAAGAGGTTATAAGATGTTATACGATGTTAAAGGATGGTTTAAGATGTTTAAGATGTTATACCATGTTAAAGGATGTTTTAAGATGTTTAAGATGTTATAAGATGTTAAAAGGTGTTTAAGATGATATAGGATGTTATAAAGTTGTTTGAGATGTTAAAAGATGTTATAATATGTTTAAGATATGTTTAAGATGTTATAAGATGTTACAAGATGTTATAAGATCTTAAAAGATGTTATAAGATTGCCTGAGATGTTGTAAGATGTTATAAGGCTACAAGATGTTTAAGATGTTGAAGGATGTGATAAGATTGTTTAAGATGCTAAAAGATGTTAAAAGATGTTATAAGATGTTATAAGATTGTTTAAGATGTTATGAGATGTTAAAAGATGTTTAAGATGTTATAAGATGTAAAACATGTTTAAGATGATTTAAGATGTTTAAGATGTTATAAGATGTTATAAGATGTTTAAGATGTTATAAGATGTTATAATATGTTAAAAGATGTTATAGGATGTGAAAGATGTTATAGGATGTTTTAAGATGTTTAAGATGTTATAAGATGTTATAAGATGCTTAAGATTATATAAGATGTTATAAAATTGTTTAAGATGTTACAAGATGTGATAAGACCTCAAAGAGGTGAACACCCTGGAGGCTGCAGAGCAGGCGACACAGACAGATCGCGACCCGCTGGTCGACGATCTCAATGAGCTCCTGGCCAAGAACATCCGTCTGGAGGAGATGCTGACCGAAACTGAAAATCGTTTGGCCGAAACTGACGAGGCCTATACGAACATCCAGACCATCCTGCGGGACTACAACCATGATCGACGCCGGACGATCATTGAGGCTGGACAGCAGGAGATCTACTTCACTGCTGAAGGCCGAGCTTGGCACGCAAGCTACCAGTGCCTGCGCAATCGAACCAATGGCCGGATCTTTGGCCGCACCTGGTGCACACAATGCCTGGACCAGCTTGGACGACATCTTAACCAAGCACCGACAGGCTCGACATCAAGCAGATTGCGGTAGATGCGTTTTTGCCATTTAAATTTTCCTCTTTTCACCCGTGTGAATTGTGTGCCACACAATAGCATGTGTCACATAGTTCACCTATCATGTCCCCATTTTGGCCTTGTCGGCCCGATCCGTCCATTTTCTAGGGAGGGACTTTCCTAGGGATCAGCCTGCTGGCTACATGTGGTGCGACCCGCGCTTTTACTTCTTCCTGCACTTCGGCAGGGCTTTGCATTGGGTTTCTGCTGCTACCCATCAACACATGGCTTTTGGGAGCGCAGGGCGGGATTTCCAATTGTGCAGCCCTCACACCACCAGGTTGCTCATTATTTGCTGACAGAATTGGGCCCTGTATCATCCTGTATCTTAGGAATGGGCCGGGGTTTCCTGCATAGGCCTGATGGAAGAGCTTATTTCCGTTGGCAAGGGAAGTTGTTTTTTGTACTTCCACCCTTTCTTGGAGGCGGGGGTGCTGAACTGGCCTGTCTTCATACCCCATCAATTTAGTGAATTACATTGAATTACATATATAATTATTATATACTATTACCCTCTAGTGTCCCTAGTAGTCAAACATAATTGGCTGGAAAACCTCCCATCAATGTTGATGATTTTCCCATTTCCTTTTTTTTGTTCGGGGAATTGCAGTGTTTTCACAGCCATGTTCAAGGACACCTGGGGAGGTAACAATCAATATTCCATTCATATCTCCTCAATATCCCCTTGTTTCAAAATCTCATCTAATCAAAAATTTTGACGGTTAAATCATGTACATCTGCCTTTTAAAACTGTTCTACCACCATTTCAATCACCATGAGGTTTCCTATTACCACCATGTTTTGGGCCCATCTCCAAGGCACCGTCTCCCGCTGGAGCAAGGCTCTTCGGGCAGAGGCTCTTGCCGAGAGCGCGCGCGAGCTCTTCTCGACCAGCAGGGCACGGTCCAAGACCTGGCCGAAACAGCGGGATCCCACCGGACCAGTGGAAGAGAATTCTTGGAACCAAGAAATATCGCTATATATTACATTATATAGTATATAAATAATATATATATAATATAGTTTCTAAATGTAGTTATATATATATATATACATACACTATTGAATTCTGTAAAAAATTGTATATAGTTAAAATATCTTATAATAACTGTTCTGTTGTTTTAACCACTGTACGTATAATGGATCATCATGGTATAATTAAGATATGATGTATAATTCAATATATAATATACAGTAACTGTTTTGACCACTTATGCTCAGATATCAATGGTTTAAGCCTGAGCAAGAAAAACATGCGGTTTTAACAGGGAAACGGAGGATTTACACAAGAAAAAGTTGAGCTTTTAAACAAGAAATGAAGGACTTGTATATACTTTCAAGAAGAACATATTATGTTGCATCTAACCAAGAAATGGTGAAGTTAATCAAGACATCAATTCTCCAATTTACTATGCTGGGACTCACGGTGGAACCAATTTTTTTTTGGGCGCTTACCAGGAAAATTCTGGCCTTTTTCATGGCCATATTACGGCATCACAGGGGGGTTATTCACTTAAGCCTCTGGTAATCCAAACCAGGCGGACAATCCTCTACCATTAACCTTATTAAACCAATTTACATCCATTAAGAGATGATTTGGCCGTAAGAGATTGGAATCCCTTCTGCAATAAGTGGCATCATCAATCCATTATTGGCCGCGGATATCCCATAGATATTTTGAAAAACAACATCATATGGCACATAATAATCAATTTAACATGACATGACACAAAAAAAAAAATCAATGCAATACGATAGAAGATGATTAATCATCAATGAGCCTCTTACCATTCCTGGGATGCACATCCAAGTTATTGGAAATGCGTTTCGAATGCGTTTCATGTGTTTCTGACCGGGGAAAGTCAGGGAATGCGGAGCAGAAAGTCTTCCCAGGCCAGTAAAATCCCACTTTGGACCAGAAACGGATGCTCAAGAATCTTCCCCAAATATCTAATGTAGCTTTGTGGCAGGTGAATCCCACCTGCCAAGTATCATTCACCAAGGCGCTTCTGGGGAAATTCGTTCCAAGAATGCTTTCAGATGTCCGGCACCAAACTTCCACCAGAAAACGTGTCACTCCAAAATATGTCTTTGGGGATGGTTGGTGCCCCATCTCCATCTTCGGTTGGAAACAATTGGATCCAAATATGGGACACCCCTCTGGTAAACATACAAAAAACGATGGAAAATCGCCATTTTTAATGGGTAAATCAAGTAGAAATGACAATTTTCAATAGCAAACTGTTAGTTTACCAGGTCACCACCTGTCCCACTGCACCTCGATGGCTTCCTGGTAGGAGCCTTCCCTCCGCAATTCGTCGCCTTTCTGCAGAAAGTACGCCACATCGCTCGAGAGGTCCTGGGTGCAGCAGCAAATCTTGCAGCAAATCACTTCCCCAGGGGCTTGAAGGCTCACTTTCATTGGCATTTCAGGATTTCTATGCCAAATATTCCCTGACCTTTAAGAATATCACCACCTGCCAAAAAGGCTGGGGAAATGTGGAAATGTGGTGGACCCTCTCAGGTAGAGATCCCACATAGGGGATGTTAACAGTACAGGTGTTAGACCCACAAGAAAACACTGTTCATTTTTTCGGATGGGCAGAGCTAAATCAGCGCTAAAATTTGGGAAACTGATCATCAAGCCCAGTAGCTTTTGAGTCGATCAACATCCTGAAAATAGCTTTAAAAAAACACATGGATCGAAAATAATGGATGGTTCGCATATGTTCCCATGGTTCTCATGATTTCTGGCATACCCTCCGGTAAACATACCAAAAAACGAACATCACGACTTTTAATAGGTACATCAACTATATATAAAACTGGGCCATTTTCCACTATAAATGGGTAAATCCAATGTAAATCCACTATAAATCACCATTTTCCATAGCTATGTTAAATTACCAGGGTGTAAATGGCTTAGGGTTTAACACGTTTACTTCCTCGGCTGCCCACTTTCAGTCCTTGGCCTTGGGTTTCCGCAAGCTGGCAGGCCTGAACCGAGGCACCATTAAGATGAGAAAACGGATATTTCAATCCGTTGGGATTTCACAATACTCACACACAATATCTATATATATATATATAATTAATATACACAAATTAATTACTCTATGTAATATGTGTCTATATTTATTATATAATTAGTATTAATTATAGCAAATTATATATATATATAGTGTGTGTGTGACAAGATGTGACAAGTATTCAACAATGATTTTGATATCCACATCCATTTCCATCACTCTTCGCAACAAAAGGGGCCAGGGGATCCCCACCTCTTGGGCGCGGGCGCAGATGCCATGGCCATCGGCAAAACTTCGAGAACGATCTTGGCGTCCAAAGTTACACAGCTTCAAGTTGGAGTTCCAAACGGAAAAAAAAACATCCCAAAATGGTGATCAAGTGGGGGTGAAAAATGGATGAAAAATGTGAACAAAGTTCAAAGTCTTCATTGTTGAGCTTGAGATGTCAAGGTTGTGGCAGCATTTTGCAGCATCGGTCATTAATTCGGTTAGTGGTCTCCCGTCCCCACTGGGCAAATCATGATCCTCCCTCGAGCAGGCACGGCCACAGGGCGGTGGCGAGGCCGAAGGGCCATGGCTGTTGCAATTGAGTGAAGCCAGCATGTGCAGGGTGCAAGGTTTCTTGCAAAGGCCCCTTTTTTTTGAAAATATACTATCCGATCCTTCACGATGAAAGGAGACGCGAGCGAATGGGATTCCAAGATTGCTCGTTGTATCATCTTGTATCTCAATCCATGTAATCCATCAAAGGAATCGTACTGGTGCTTAGTAAGGAATGAGGGAATGATCTATAATAACCATTAGTAATCATCCCATGAAAATGACTAAAATCCAGAGTTCAAGTTCTAAACTGTAGAGTTTAGTGTTTGTATATTTCTTTGTACAGTTCACTTCTCTCTAGAGTTCAGTGCCTTGGACTTACAATGGCTACTCTCGGGAGTTTAGGTTTGGACAAAGGTTTGCACTTATAGGCATGTATTTTCTTTGGAGGAAATTGCAGACTTGTGATATGTATTTCACAATGTCTTTTTTCTGAAGAAAAGATTTCTTCTCCTCTAATGCATTCTCACCAAGCTCCAGAGTTTAGTGTTTTCATTGGGTACTGCAGTGTCCATTCTCTCCGGAGTATAGGCTTCCATTCTCTCTATCTAGCTATCTAGCTATGTATCTATCTGTCTAAGACTCTTTGCAGGGAGTTGGGAATGGTGAGACCCCAGCAGGAGTTCTTTACTGAAAGCTATCTATCTATCTATCAAACTATCTATCTATCTATCTATCTAGCTATCTAGCTATGTATCTATCTGTCTAAGACTCTTTGCAGGGGATTCATCTGTTTGGACTTAACAGCAGCAAGGCTATGGTTCAAAACTGTTGAGCATTTTTTGGGGATGATTTGATCCATTCTAGGTAGCTGTGGGTCTGGTAAGTTTTGAATCGTAGCCGCATGAAGAACTACTATCCGTAGGTTTTTGTCAGGGTACATAGTGACCGATGTTTGGAGATCGTTGTGTGGGTGGTTTCTGGAAAGAAATTAGATTTTGCTTAGCCACTCACTGGCTTTTTTGCACCTGGTGCCGTTTGGGCACAGTCCATGGAGACAAAAATCTGCAGTTTAGTGCTGTGCAAGCGTTGTTGGATCGAGGGGATTGACTTTGAAGTTTAGACATGGAAGCTTGATGTGCACATTCTGACACTCATAAACTCAGGAGTAAAGACGACGTATTTCAGGTAGAAATCAGCTCCATTAACTCCAGAGTTTAGTGTTTTGATGTGTTTTGTACTCCAGAAAAAAGTGTCTTCCATCATCCCATTCCCCCTATTCCCTACTAAGCACCAGTAAGGAATTGATTGCCGTAAAATTTCGAGGGCTCTATAGCAAAGCCCTAAGCAATGGCAACCCTTTTGCTCTCCGCCCCCATGCCAAGGTGAAATCGGCTCATCGGTATTTGCCGCCGTACCTGGTGAAGCAAGCGACTCAAACGAGGGCCCAGTGAGGTGTTGGTAACCACCAGCTAACCTGACCCAACCTGTGAAAGGATGAGCATTTCACACATTACAAATGCATACAAATGCTGGATTCGGCACGAGCTGTGTTGCTTTTTACAGGCTTGCTTGACTTGATCCTCATTTGGACTTAGTCAGTCTCCAAGCTGGTCAGTTGCAGTACTAGTGTCACATGGTTGTTTTTGTCTGCGATGACATGGCATCCTGCTACCCTTCCTTTTGATCACCCAATGCATATGTGGTGTCAGGGGCTTCGCCGGATATCGTCTGACTGACAACATTCCGAACAAATCAGGGGTGACGTATACCGCAAGTATGTCCATCTATCATTACCTTATTGTATGTGCATCTATCTTTCTGTATACCCGAAGCATAAAACATTAAACGGTGTATACATATATGTACATATATATATGTACTCTATATACATATACATATACACACTACATATATGGGTAAATTATCATGTCTCACTAAACTGAAGTAGGGCCGATTTGGGATAGTTGCCCCTACTAACCATCAGTCCAGTTCTCAATATCCTTAGGTACTAAATCCACAGGATTCCCGAATTATCCAATCTCCAGCAGTTCTCCAAGCGAGCAGCTCGTTTTTGCCCTTCTTGGAATCGGTGCCCAGCTCAAAGTGCTTGGTTCGCTTGATGGGTTTCATGCGCTTTGCCTCTCAAAACATCAATGGGCTCAAAGTGATCCCTGAAAGTATGATCCGTGAGGGTGTTTTGTGCACGGCGGTGTTGCACGTACCCACCAACACACAGTACGTGTGTGTGTGTGCGCGTGTGTATATATGAACTAATGTACATGTACTGTATATATAATATATATATATATATACTGTGATGTAATATATTGTAATGGTATGGCATGTATGCTAGACGGATGGATGGACGGACGGACAAATGGATGTGATGGATTACTCAGCAAAAAAGATCATCTCCCTGTCTGCAGTGTGCTGCAGTGATGTGCCAAGTGTATTGTCATGCCTCCTAAGACGTTTTCCCGCACGTCTCAAACGAAATGCGCTTGAAATTCATGAGCCATATCTTGACAAAACAGACATCTTGATGTATCTCAATCGTGTGTGTGTGTGTTTATGGCATTGATTAATCCCTGATCCGTTGCCTACTCAGATACTCAAATGTATCATATGAATCATATGAATCATATGTATCTGATAACTTTTGAAAAAAATGAAAGTGTTTCAAGTTGAGACCTCCAGAATTCTGTCTGCGCGATCCTGCTGCATGCGGAAAAGGGCTACCTCTGACAGCTCGAGCTCTGTTTCCCGCAACAAACAAAAACTCTTGGAACTCACCAGCAGCTGATCTCAATCATCGATTTTTCCTATATGGGTGTGTCTGAAAATAGTGTACCCCTAAAGCCAATGGTTAATGATCATTATCCCTATGAAATGGCTATAATTGGGATATACCCTATTTTCAGACAAACCCATATGCATACGATGCATTCCCACAGAATTCTGATCAGCCTGTCAATCCCATCACCAAACGGCGTCCCCAGGCCATCGTGCCTTGCACTTGGTGCACTCAAACTTCAGCACAATCCTCAGGTCCCCAGCTGCCAGTCCCCTGTCCATGTCCCACAATTAAGAGGTTTGTGTCAGATTGACTCGACATTGGTCGCCCAAAAAAAACGAGCCGTCATTCTACTAAATTAAGCATGGTTTGCATCGGGGTGCCAATTCATTATGTAATAATGTGCAGCACTTTTAGAGCGGTCTAGCTTTTGTGCATAGGGCCTCAGGCTTTAAAATGCACAAAAACAATGAGAACTGGTTCTGCTATAAAATGCGTTTCCAGCAAATTCACGCCGAATTGGCATCCAAGTTCATCCAAATTCGAAGACCCTCAGAAACGCATCTTTAAAAACGGGTCAGGAAATTCTTTTTAGATAGAGGTATTTTAGAGTGAAGGTGCCCTAATATTTTGTGTTTTTCTTCTTTTATAGCATTCTATAGCATACATTATATAATATATATTCCTTAAAATTCCTTAAGCTTCCTTCAACAAATCCTTGAAATTCCTTAAAAAAACTATTCAAATGCTTCAATTTGCTGATCTAAAATGATATGCCCAATAAAATCAATAGAAAGAGATCCTGGAAAAGCACTGGTTCCATTCTGCAATAAAATGCTCCAAAAACTCATTTTTTTGCAATAAAACTAGAATGGAATTTGAACATGTTAAAAATCATCAGGATTTCTCTTGCCAATAAAATGCTCAGACCAACCCCTTAACAATAAAATGACTAACCTGACTCCAATTTTGAAATTCCAGTACATTATGGATCTCGCTTAGATTATGCACAAGTCATCCATTTCTAGTGTGGAAATTGCCACGGGGATAGGTTTGCCATATAGTTGCAAACCAAATCACCCTTTCGCCATGCAGTCGCACTTTCAAGCTGAGTGGCTTCTTGGTGGTCTTGGCCTCTGGTGTCCAGTGGCAGTGACTTTTCCGCAGTCACACAATGTGGCAGCGTTGCTATTGGTGATGGCACTCATGCTGCATTACTACAATTTATAATGGAAATAGTTATATTGAAAGCTACTCTAAAGCTTAAGCTTGGATGGCGGAATGCAAAAATACACATAATCCAATTCATGTTTGGTCCTGATGGGTTTACCCATCTGTAGCTACATGCCAAGCTCGCCATAGCATGGTACCCGGTCAAATGATGCAAAATGATTCCCCTTCATTAAGGATCCATTCAGGCATTTAAGTGAGCCCTGAGAATAACTTGAAGAGCCCAAAACATACGTTATACAGAGTCTGCAGAGTCTACAGTGTATTTTGGGTCAAGAACTCTGAGGATGACTTTGAGACATTGCAAGTGAGACGAGGGTTGTATCATTCAATCGTATGTAGTGATCTATTGTGGCCTCTCTTGAATATGAAGAGGTCTATTTATCTATTTATGGTCTACCTGCTTCGCGGGAGCAACAAACGATCACAACTTCCCCAAAAGGTTTAGCCCTCCTACACACTCCTGAGCAATCCTGAGGACCCTGGTATCCCTGGCGCATTCGACGGCCTTCTTGTGGAAAACGGGCTTGGTTTGGCCACCGAAGCCCGCCTGCTTTTTGTCCTCAGCTGGCACCAGCTGGCAGAAAACTTGTGGGATAGTGGATATGGTCTGGTTGTATCCCAACAAGTGGCCGTCTGATCGATGCCAACAATTTGAGATCCTCATGACTCCAACCTCACATGATCAAGCTTTTTGCCAGTTGGGAACACCCCAAACAAGGCTCTATCGGGCTCTATCACCGATAAATACCCACACCAATCCCGCCCATGGCCCATCATGGCTCCCACCTTGCTACACCCAAGCGTCGTATCGACGCTTTCCCTGGGCGCTCAGGGAAGCCTTGCCAGTCTTGTACTGAGAGCCCTGTCGCTGTGCAGGACAACCATACATGAAATGTAGGAATTTGGGGATGCGATGCGATGAGAATTTACATTAATTTACATGTTAAACTAGTTAAACACATTATAAGATCAGTCGGAGCCACGGAGTCTTGTGGCGTTTTCTCATTTTGAACATTGTTGTGGAACTTCGTCTACGCCCACAGCCTTTACATCACATGTCCAACTCGAAGAAGCACCATGGCACAAGCAAAAAAAGCAAACACGATTAATTCCAGTCAACAACTTCGGAACATATATCCCATATTATCCCTTATATAGTCATGTATCCTTACATATGCTTACACACATCGTGTTTTTGACTGGCGCATCCTATGCTAACCATTGAGTCAGCTCACAACGGCCTTGTGAGGAGTGTGCTTCTTGCACTTTCGGCAGTACCTGAGCGGTGAAGCTTTAGACCTGACAACCATCTACTCCTTCAATTCCATCTACCCTCTGGTAAACAAGCAGTTTGCTATTGAAAATGGCCATAGGAATATGGATTTACCGTTTGCCCATGAAAAATTGTGATTTTCCATCGATTTTTGTATGTTTACCAGAGGGTACTTCGGATGCACCCAAGAGACGTATTCCTGGTCTTTGGGATGTTCCTTGGCCGAAAATGGCAAGCTTGGCAGCACCGAAGGACTGATCAAAACGGGAACCCCCAGGACTTGACCGCCCAACAAAAACACTTCACGGCATACGTCCGCACTCATCCCAGGCCATCCAAGTGGGCATTCCCAAAGAAGGCCATCTAAATCCAGATTAATTTAAACACCTTGTGGATAAGGCTCTCTCTCTCTCTCCATGACATATATGACATATATGCTTCACTCCATCAACATCCCAGCTACACCATGGCCGCTCTGCACGGGCCGACGCGGCAGTAGGGAGACGGAGGTCCCTTTGAGCCCCAACGAAGCCGAACAGAATAGGGTAACCCCCCTGGATTTTGGGGTGCCTTATCTTCAGACCCCAAAATGTTGCTGATTCAGCTGTTCAGGGGTTTTCCGGATGAGCTCCATTTTTGCAAATGCGGCCCCTCCAGCACAGTGATCAACAAGCCAAAACGCTGGGACGAGAGACCATTGGTTTTTGTCAAGTTTCTAAGTACAGGATGTCTGACCAAGTCCAGCGATGCCTTGTATATTCACTGTTCAACATAAGTTTTCCATGTTGTCTTAAGCTCCCCATTGTTATTTCATGAAACTAATTCCTCAATCTTGTCATTTTTCCCTTACCAAACATAAACATTAGGTATATTTGTTGAACATGTTTGGGATCGTTTGCACCCCGTAAGCGAGACCTCAACCCCTTTGCGCGCCTCTTGTGTTCCAGACCACCTTATTTTGGCGCAGTGATCAAGCCATTGTCATCCTGTGACACTCCAACCGGTTTCTCCCACCGACATCCCAGCGACAAATGTGCGATAAATCCAATGTTTATCCTATCGCCCAAAGTTCGTACATGTTCCCCAAATCATACGTTTGTTATAAGTATGATTTTGATCTATGAATTACTGGTTGGTGGTTTCAATATGAGTCAGTTAGGATGATTATTCCCAATATATGGAACCATAAAAATGTTCCAAACCAGCAACGAGTATAGATTAGTTATGAATTGGGATGTATCATATATGTTTATAACTTATAATAGTTAATATACAAGTTCTATTTTGATCTATGAGCTATATAATCCTATATATATAATATATTGATTTAGAAAACATATCACAAACAAATTGACTCAAAAAAACACATCTCGAGGAATCCACCTAACCCGCTGAAAATCCTTTCAGGCGCCCGACACCGCGGCCAAGGCGGCCAACGGATCGCCAGAGCTACTGGAGGCCTTTGCAATCTGAGAAAGACCCGTTGGAAAATGGTGAAAGAGGTGGGAAAAGTGAAACTTATTGAATCTCAAGTCCGGAAACTTAGGAGTTTGGGACTTGACAAATGGTTAAAGCCGCTTTCGTGTCGATTTGCTCCCTGAAATCGCCTTGGGGATGTTGACCAAATAATGAGTGTCTGCAAATGGGGTGTGTATGTCTGTACCCTCTGGTAAACATACAAAAAACGATGGAACGATCCACCATTTTTCATGGGAAAACTCATTATTTCTATGGCCATGTTCAATAGCTATGCTAAATTACCAGAGGGTAACCCCCCAAAATGGTCCATTTTATACGGATCATTATAACCGATCAAATTTGGTGACCGATTTTCAAACAAAAAACCGTTTCCAAGGTGGTCACCCCAAGAGTTGGCGGATGTTTGTGGTATTTCAAATATTTTCAAATCCCTTGATGAGGAATGATAGGAATGGGCAGTAGAAATTCATCAATTTGGAGGTGACCTTGAGCTTGGGCTTACCCCATCACAACCGCCTGGCTATGCCTGGCTAAAAACAACATAAAACAACTGATTTATCCCCGCAGAACCGGACGAAGAAGCCCATGCTCACATCATCTCCGTTTTTGCCACGGTTTTAACACTTCTCTCATCCAAATCCACGCGGATGACCTCCATTTTTCCATCATTTTTACCAGTGGTTCCATAATGCTGATTTTTTTTCCCACTATGTACTATGTACATCTATGTTCAATCAATTCCATCATTACAGAAGGATCTAAATCTGCCACCCCCTCCAAACGATACGTATAAAGGTTTTCGAATGACTATGAGGATCATGTTGTATTCTATCTTATGGAAAGTACAAGTGGTGGAAAAGGGCCGCTTTCTGCGAGAAAACCCAGGATCCTGGGAACCAGAAATTTACGCCCAGAACCCTTCGTGGGGTTCTGTTGAAAACTCGGGTCGTTTTACCCGAAAAAACATCGATTCCGGGCAAACGTCCGGATCTGTGTATTTATCACATCATCATATCCACAGCAAGTTCGGTTCATCCCATTTTCATCTGGGTTTGAAATCCCCCATGAATTCATGTTTCTTCTCTTTTCGGGGTGGTGCCGCAGTTTTCCTCACGCCTGGGCAGGAATCTCTGGCCTCGCGGAAAGGGATGATTCCAATCATGTCCGGTTAACCAATGTCTAATGGTTCAACCAATGGTATCAATGGTTCAACCAAATAATGTGGTTAAAACAAGAATAAACCATCCCCCAAATCACCATAAATAGGTGGTATAAACCATTCCCAAATGGGTGGTTTATTATTGTTTTAACATGTTTTAACCATTACATTAGTTCAATATGGCTCACCATTTGGGGATCATCATTTCCATCCCAAATATGAACAGAAATCGGAACTGTCCATGCCCCAATCAATGGTTCACCGGTGACTTGGGTTAACTTGGGAATCCCAAAATCCCAGTTTTCACCAGCCCAGAGGCCCAGAGCAGCACGGAGCACCATGAGTTGAATCAGCTCAAAATACAAACCAAAGGAAATACCGGCCAAATAAGGCTGGTTGGTGGTATACCTACCCCTCTGAAAAATATGAGTTCGTCAGTTGGGGTTATGACATTCCCAATATCACACAATGGATCTGGGGTGTCAGACACCTCTCCAGCTCTCATGGCCAAACACTGAACCATCTTCTGGTTGGTGGTTTGGAACATGAATTTTATGACTGTATCATCTTCACCGTCCAAAGACTGGGGGTTTTCGGGATGGTCGTGTCCCTCTTCGCCAAGATCTCATGTAGATTGGTAGGTTCAACTAGCAACTGTCCACGTGGTGGTCTTAAACCCTCTGAAGGTTCTCCTCCCTCTAATTGACATAGACCCGGCCAAACAAGGGTTGGACGATTGGTTTCCTCTAAGGCTGTTTTGAGGGTCTATGACGGTCTATGTTAATTTGGGGGAGAGTAATCTATGACAGTAGGGTCCCATCTATGTCTGAATCGTATGGCACAAAAACCTGCCTTGACCATGAGCCCCAGTTCTGCTCAGCGCTATTTTTTAATTCAACGCCCTCAGGTGCTAGCACGGCTCACTTTGGCACCATCACCGCAGCTTGGGAAACCATCAAATGCAAAATCATCTACCCTCGGGTAATTTAACGTAGCCATTCGGACAATTGCCCGTTTATTGGTGATTTACCCAGTAGAAATGGTGATTTTCCACAGCTATGCAGCTATGTTGAGTTACGGAGGGTAACCTATGGTGCACCTTGACCCTGCAGCGCCAACACAATGGCCGAGGCGACAACCACTAGCCCCGCCACGGGCGCCCAATCAATCTGCTCATCAGTGGCTGCTGGGTGGCTCAAGGGATCTTGCTCGTAGCCTGCGATCGGTCGATTGAAGGTAAAAAGTTTCAGGAAACCATTATTTTTACATGTTTTTTACATAGTTTTACCATCTCACATCTGAAATATAGATATAAAGATAAAAATAAATATAAGAGGTCTCCTGTAAAATAGGCCATGCGGCTTGACCAAGATCGGTGTAGCGCCTCGATTTTCTCACTCAAGAGCGTGGCAAGTTGGAAGAGAAGTTCATCAGCATAGCATCAACGTCATTAGCCCCCAAAACACCCCAACCCACCCCGAACCCCCCGGCTGAAGGATTCTCAAAAATAAAAATCTCAAAAAGATTCAAAATGAGCCTGAAACACTGTAAGGGTTCGAAAACGGCCCCGGTACCGATCTTGGTGGAGTCACCGAGTCACCTAAAATTTTCAACCAATTCCGGGAGTTGAAAACCAGCTAAATTTTATCACCGGGATGGCCATCAAGATGTTGGTTTAAAATCTGTTTCTTGCGGCCTCATCCACATGTTGGTTGGCCAAATCTCCTGCTTTGCTCTTGAATCTAGTGATATCTAGTGTCAATCTAGTGAGACCTGCATGTTATATGGTTAAATATCCATGTTTGATTCTTAAATCACCCATTTGACATCGTCAAATCCCTGCTTTAATTGTTCTTCATTAAATTTCCGAATTCTCATTGATCAAACATGTTCACCGCCCTAAATCCACATCAAATCTACTATCTTTGGCGGTTCCATCCTTCAATGTCCCGATTTTTGCTGGAAATCCCCCAGCAGAACATCCCAACCCAACCGGTGCCCGCACCTCTCAGCACTGCCACATCCGGATGATCCTCTCCTCGGGTCTTCTGCAGCTGTTGCCGCGCACGTCGGATCCAAGGTTTTGCCTGGAGAGTGTGTCGAAAATGCCTAATCCATTGGAACGCATCGACCGTTGGATAACTGGTTGGTGGTTTCAACATGTTTCAACCCCATCTGAACAATATTAGTCAGTTGGGGTTACTATTCCCATTATATGGAAAATAAAACATGATCCAAACCACCAACCAGGTTAGGTCATTGCATTTTAGGGATTCCATTGTTGCGAAATGTTGCAAATGTTGTAGTCAGGTCCCGATGATACTTTGGGGATTGGTATCAAATAGATGGTGATTCTAATCACTAAACTTGAAGATGTTCATGTAATGAATGATGCTTGGTTATCCAAATTGTTAAGGGTAGATGAGATTGGTAGGAAGTCCCATTGGCGCCTCCTTGGGTCGTCGTGCCAACAACAGGCATTGAAAGGCGTGGTAGGCGGCCTCCATGGCTGTGATGCCAAAAGACTCTGAACAGTGTATGGGCCAGCGAAATCTTGCACCAGTTTTTCAAACGGTGGTTTATCATGGTTTATCCCATTTACCCTCTGGTTATTTAACATAGCCATGGAAAATCACCATTTTTAATAGGTAAACCATCTATAAATGGGCCATCTATACCATGGCTATGTTAAATAACCAGATGGTATCTATAGGGTTTCAGCCATCCTTTTGGTGCTGCAGGATTTCGCAATCCTCCACAGTATCTCCAGCATATCTCCAGCATATCTCCCGATGCTCCTGCGCACGGAAGCCCTGCAGGGCCAAGCCCTCCTCAGCACATAGTTCTTCCATCTCCTGGTCTGATTCCACCGATGAAAGTTGAAGAAAACATAGATCCGTGGATTGATCCAAGGGAAAAATCACAGGAAAGACCCAATATTTAATGGTCACATGGGAAAATCGATGGAACATCTATAGTTTTTCCATGTTTTTCCCTTGGGGAGGAAAGAAACAGAACATCGCGGAACCGGTTCCAACCGCATTTCACCATATTTCGCCCGTTTTCGTCGCGGCCTGACTCTCAAAGAGACTCATGAGCATCGTGAGGTTGGGATGGTTGGGCCATCTTCATTCAGTGGCTTCAGGCCCAACCTCTGTGTAGTGCTAATCGCATCTAACAGTTGGCATCTAACTATCCAACATTATCCAACCATTAACCCTTCGACTCACCACTTGGCGTCAGTCGGTCATTCCCCCGGGAGCGGTGCTTCCGCATCCATCAGGATGGACCTCCGACGTTTCCCCCGCTTCTGGAGCCACAGGGCGTGGTGAGGACAGAAACTCGACGTTGATCCCTCTGGCACTGGACGCTTGCAGCGCCATTGCTTTCCCTGCAGGCTGTGGACCTAGTGACCTAGTGGACCTGTACTTGGAAATGAACAGTGATCATGTGCTATGAAAATGGAATAGGCCTGAATTCATCAGCACAGTCTGTGGATCCGGGGTTGGCCTTACCGTTTTGTGAACTGACAGCATTTCCGAATAACATGATCAGACATGAGGCAAACGTAGGTCAACATGAGTCCGAGTGATCTGCTCCCGTGCTAAAGGAGAGGATGAAGGATGATGAATGCTAGCAATCCTCCCAATCCTCCCATTGCAAACAGCCACCACCACGTTACCAGTGGTGCCCCGACCGCCCTTCAAAATGCCCGATGGATCCCGATGGACCATCCCAAAACACACCAAGGCGCGTCGGTTCGAATGCATCGACCATCACGCGACACGCTGACAGGGCCCGGTGTCGTTCCCTCCGTTCTTCTACGCCTGGATGACCAATGGGTGGAAACCGACAAGGAATCTTATAGCAGTTGTGATTTTTTTTGTGTTGGTTTTCTCTTTTGGAAGTTTTTTCAAGTAACTCTAGCATGTTCTATTTGGAAACAAAGAATAAACCACTCATATTCTGATGGTTCATAGCACCCATTTATCGTAGAATCGGGGATGGCTTACTATTGTTTTACTATAGCATTATAAATAAATATATAAATATATATATATGTTTGCTATGTTTGTGTCTTTGCGCAGCTACAAGGTTTCTCGGGTGAATCGCCAGTTCTTCAATGCGCAGTGGGGTAGTGCGTTTTCCATCGACCCGGGCTTGGATGAAGGGAGACGCAGAGTAAAAACCACGTTTTTCATGCTAAATGCAACGTTTTTAATGATATGCCATCTGCCTTCACCGCCAACCTCAAGTACCCCGGCCAGCTTATATGCATATTTTCTCGGTTTCTGGCACGAAAGATGTCAAAGTTATGAAAGTACATGAGAAAGTATCCACCTCGACCCGTGAGTGGGTGGTTTCCATTCACAGATTTCCTCTGAATCTTCCTTTCAAGCGCCCTAATCCACCCTAATCCACCCTAATCCCACGCTGATCTCAAGACCGACCTCGGTCCGCTCTTCTTCAGGCAGTGCTTCTGACATCTGATGCCAGGGGCTCCAAAACCGTCAGGCTCTCTGACCTCATTTTTTGCGCGACTGGACTCGCTCAAGGTGGAAGCATGTGGAAGTTCAAAGGGAAAATCGTGGGAAAAAATCTACCGGGGAATGCCAGGGACCATGGTTCTTACATGTTTTACCCGAAAATACCCCACATCGTATAACATATCTAAACAAATAAATAAATAAATTAATTAATAAATACAATTAAATAAAAAAAAGATAAACATGGGGATCCTGCAGAACCACAGCCGTTGGGGCATCAGCTATGGGACTTATCCATACTTATCCCATAAACATGCGGGTGCATAACCAAGGGAGAAGGAAGAAGCGCACCCGTTCGGGGATGGAACATGAAAAACCCTTGTTTTTTTTTTACGAACAAATTACCCTCCAGAACGTGGGGATATATATATATACATCATGTATATATTATATATATGTGTGGAAACCCATGAAGACCCTTGTTTCAAAAATCGATCTACGATTAATGGGCTATCCATACCAATATTTAAATCTTAAATTACGGGCGAGTATGTGGAACTTCGGAATTCTTGGTCGAACCAAACTCCTTGCACCGCAGTTTTCACACCAAAACAGCCGGAGTAGATTTATGATGATTTGTGTTCATCCCGCCTCAACCGATGATCCACATAGGTGGCATGCCCAGGCAGGGGTGGTTTGAAAATCCTAAATCAACCGATTCATCATCATCGTTGTCATAGTCATCGTCACATCATCATCATCATCATCATCATCATCCCTACATTAAAGCCGCCAAAGGGTGTCAATTCCCCCATGTTCAAACACGAGAATAAAACATGCTGGCGGCTCAGCGACATGTCTGGCAGGCCGACACCTGCACCCAGCGATGCTGCACGTCTTGCCACCATGTTTGAAACATCGCCGCCCTGCTGCACCAAAATCATCCTCCATCTTCACCTTGGGTTGGCTTCAAATGGTAACATAAAATGTCGATCCTGGAATAAACCCTAATGGATGAATAATGATCATATCATCATATAAAATATGATAATATGATAATATGCTGCTAAAATGCGTTAAAATGATGGTAATCCCTAATGAAACAACTCATGTTTTGTTAACCCAGTAAATAAATAAATATATATATATATATTAGCATTGCTGCTAATATTAATAATATTGTTAGCATGATAAATATTAATATTATTACCAGTTTATTGTTATTAGTATTCTTAGTATTGTTGTTACTATTTTTTATTTTACTGTATTTTTTTGGTTTATTTATTATAAAATATTATCAATATTATCTTATAATTATATAATTTGTACGTGCGTCTAGAACTGAAGTATATCTTTAGAATTGCCGTTTAGCAGGAAACTGTGACCAACCATGGGATTTTTGGGCACCCTGTTCAGACACACCCATGTAAACACGGGATGAATCACGTTGAATAACTCTTCCTGCTGCTTTGACTGTGGGGGCACCACTGCACTGCCAGATTGTAGAGCAAACGCCCAGCCCCCTTCATAGGCATAAATTAACCTCAGGACATCTCACGACCCGTGGGCATTAACATACATTGATGTGGTTAAAACAATGTCATAAACCACCCATTTGGGAAGGGTAAACATACCACCTCTTTCATTATGGTGATGACTGGGGGGTGGTTTATGGCGTTGTTTTAACCACATTAACTCTGATCAACTATAGCTTTCCCTCAACTTCCCAGCAACGAAAAAGAGACCAGGTGCAGTGCCCCAATGCGTCCGTGTGCAACCCGAAACGTTGCAGTTACCCCGCGCGGAGCGTTTTCTTGGAGAGTCGTGGTGCAAGGCGCAGCGGTTGTGACTGGTGGCAGGGCGCTGGCAAAGCGGCACCTGAATGACCAAGGTTGGGTTGGGTATTCCCACAGCTCCTGGGGAAAATAGCAGTCGGTGTGCCAACATCAACTACAATATATCAACATACCCAACAAGAATCATCTCATGGTTCACCCAGTTTCCATCATTTTCCCCATTTATCTCCAGATATCTCCAGATATTCATGACAAAAAAAAACCTGTGAAATCAGGGTGAAATCTACTTCTGCCGCCCTTCGCGGTAGCAGGTCTCACCTCACAGCGCCGTGCCCCGTGTTGGTAGCAGCGATGCCCCGCCAGGCCGATGCCATCGTCGCGCCAGACGCGGCCCACTGAGCTGCGCCCGCAGCCGAGGGCGTTGCAGGGCAGGCGCCCCCCGTGGGCGTCGCAGCGCCAGCCGGCGGGGCCGTAGCTGTCCAGGGTCCTGGGGAGGCACTGGGGCCATCTGCGGGTGTCCATATGAGGGATCCCCAATAGCTGGATGGTAATGAACATCCCAAACAAAAATGGATCATTTTAGGAAACCTGCGTGAAATGCCTCAGAGTAGCTGCCAGATATTTGAGTGGATTTGGGTTCAATCTTCGATGCGGTGGCAAACTGATAACTCAGTCAGCTGGGGGAACACTGTGGCACATGACTGAAGCTCAACACTAAATTCTGACCCTACCACCAGCTCACATCAGTAGGATCACCAGTGGTTTTGAAACCATGACACCAAGCCACATCATCTTATTGGAGGACATGTCAGCGGGCATCCGGAACTGATTTGGATGATTCCTCCTACATACAACCATCGTTTAAACGTCCCCTTGGTGTAAAACTGGTTGCATGAATTATATACAACTAGCATTGGCTAACTATTGTGTATATATAATTTAAAGCAAAACCATTCAAGACTTTTCGCCTTGCTATTTAGCCGGAATATGAACTTAAATATATTATAACATATTATGACCACTGTATGTTAAAAAATGTGATAATTAAAATAACTAATAAAAGATAATATGAGCTGTATATGATGTAAATCCATCGTTTCCAATTTTCCCTCGCTGGAAACGCCCTCTCTCCGCGCCCAGGCGCAGTTTCATGCGCCAGGCTTTCCGATGACATCCGTCCACCTCGCAGCTCCGCTGGAGCTTGGAACGCGTCCTCGTTCGGACGACGGGCGGCGCCAGCACAGCGTCCTGAAGGCGAGGGATTCCCATGGTGAAGTGACCTTCAAATGAGTGACATGGTATGGTCATCCGAGCCATCCATACAATGCCACGGGAAATCATGGAAATCTTCATGGTTGCAGTTGAAACATATTCTGGTTGGTGGGTGGTACGCCTACCCCTCTGAAAAATATTAGTCAGTTAATTGGGATTATTATTCCCAATACATGGCAACATAATCTAAATGTTCCAAACCACCAGTAATATGTGGAAATTCCCATCAACGCTGGCGGATTGATGCGCGAAAAAATTTCCCGAGCTGTGACCATAGCAGCCATAATGCCATAGCTTGAC